AATTAAATGTGTTTGGTTGATTTAGTTTTAAACATTGAAAATATTATACATGTCATTTTTTATTTGTGGAAAAATAAAAATCACATCTTCCTAAAAAAAAAAAATTCATTATTTTGAAGGAAAATATAGTTACGTGACCAAAAGTGGAAAAATATTTTTTGTGGAAAAGATTGTCAATTAAACAGCGCAAATGTAGAAAATTGGGTGGAAAAAATACATTTTCATGGAAAGTATTGATAATCACATGTAACTAAAATTGTTACAATATTTATCAATTTGAGCTTAAATTAGAATTTTTCAGACTTGCAAAGCAAACACCAGAAGACAAGGAAATAGTTATTTACCTTATTGCAAATTAGCAATTGTAGATCTAAGTACCACTAAAAATTCTTCACTAGGTCTACTTATTTAGAAATTATTTTTAAATATATAAAAGAGTAAGAGATGAATTCACATATTATGTCAGTTTCCTCCTCCAATTTAAATTATAATCTCACACCAACAAAAATAGCTTTTTAGGGCATATATTTACAGCGTGCAATTGACGCTTGCCATAAAAATAGACTTTTTATGACGCGACTTAAATGTGTGCCGTAAATGATCTAGTCCTATGTTTTGTAAACCCATTATTAATTTGATAAAATGTTTTATCACTAAAATAAATAAATAAATTGTTACTTCTGAAATAAACGCAATGTGTTTGATAGATATTATTGAGAAAATAATGTATTTTAAATAGTGATACGATGAGAAATATGTGATTAAAAAGTAAGGAAAATATATTGATATGATGTAACATATTATTTTACTAGAGAATGTGTAATTTGACATGAGTTTTGAAAAAAATATATTTTCAAAGAACGTGTGTCAAATGGAGATAAGAAAGAACTAAGCGGCCGTTCTCTTTGTGTTTCAGTTTTCTGTTTTGAGTTTTGAATTCGTTTTGTATTTTGTGTTTTGAGTGTCTGTTTTGAAATTTCTGAAAATGCGTTCTTTTTGCCATTCTGAAAAACTGTTTCCGAAAACATAAAAATGGAAAACTCGTTTACTTTGAAATTTTGAGA